AATAGCATTGGGTCTTCTGTTTAACTGGCAATGTCAGAAATTATTGACCTGAGTCCCCCACAGCTCAACTTAACAGCATGGCTTTATTTCTTATAATTTCGTCTTCATTGGGTATATTTTTCATATTAAAACAACATTATTTTACTATCAAAAGAAACCAATTACTGTGATTTTAAAAAGCAGAAGGATTTACTGGGTCAACTGACAAATTTGGAAAATGAAAGGTAAAATCAGATAAAAACTATCTTATCGATATTAAGTTTCCTGAAATCATACTGTGCTGTGTAAGAGAATGTGCTCGTGCACACTAAACACACATTGAAGCAGCACGGGCTGCAGAGGAGCATTATCTTCCTCCCCGTGGCTCTGAGGAGAACAAGTACAGGCACAAAAGTACAAAAATTAATAAAATACGTAGGTGAAGTATAATACGTAAATCTGTAAACTGGCTGTAAGGAAGCTCTTCACACTATTTCTTAATATTTCTATACACTTAAAATTACTTTAAAATTTTGAAGAAAAAAAGTAGTGACACTTGCCTCAACATTTTCTTCCCCAAATTTCTCCACAGCTTTCTCCTCAGAAAGGCCGCAAGCACAGTACTCCAAAGGTGTAAACACAGTGGTTGGAACATTTTCATAGTCACACTGTTTCAGAGCAGAGGAAAAGAATCAGGACAGGCAGGCTTGTAACTTTCCAGAAAAGCACCACGGCTTATTTTTAAAAGGCTCAAAGTCGAGAGAGGAAAGCAGATGATGCCCAAGCAGCAGTGAGGAAGTCCCAACGCCAGGCAGCAAGGGACACGCTAGAACTGGAGACTCTGTGATGTCTCGCTATGGGCCTGAGGTCCAGCAGGACTGATTCCAGAAGACATCCTTATTGTTTTTCTTCCCTTTCCCAGCAGAGGTCACCAAAAAGGACCACTTTTTCTCCTCTAATAAAACCCTGAAAAACAATACAGGGGTACCCAATACTGACAGCCCAATAGTAATTAATTAATGATAAGAATCAATTGAATTGTTTGGAACATCAATTAGATAATACATGTCAAAAGCCATAAAAGCAGTCTATGCCTCTGGCTCAATAATTCTACTTCTCAGAAGCCTATGATCATTACGTTACACAGATCACAGTACTATAATCGTAATAAAAATGATACTTATAATCTAACACATGGAAACGGCTGCAGGTGCTGAGTGCCGTTGCAGGACTCATCGATAGCCGCAGGACTGCAATGGCTGCAAAGCTGCAATAACTGGAGGTGGCCCTCCAGCACACCCACACTCCCAGCATACTCCTGTCTAGCCACAACGTGCCAACGAAAGCCACAGAAACATTTCATCATGCTACAACCCAAAACAACCCCAGGTCACAAGCCCATCTTACCAGTACCACCCTGTGAAGCTTCCACTGCTGTAACCGAAGGGAAGCACTCCCTGATGGTTCACACCAGGAAAACGGCTCTACTGAGTTCTCTCCACTAGCTCATCCCCAACCTCTTTAAAAAACATGTACATATTCACTGTCCTCTTGCCATCCTGTCCTGTACAGCATAACAGAGTTCCAGCTTCTGATACCAACCTGGAAGGATTTTTTTTTTTTTTTTGGCTGGCTGGCTCAGGCTGCCTTAAGGGCAGGTCTGGCAAGGCAGGTAGAGATGGGGATCGAACTGCAGTATCCTGCACCTGACTGCGTTTGCATGAGCAGGCGCTTAAACAACTGAGCTAACCGGCAGGCCCCCTAAAGTTGAAAAGGACTTTTTTTTTTCTTGGCTGGGTCAGACTGCCTTAAGGCCTATATCAACTTGGATAAACAGTTCACTACATTAGTATTAGCACACAGCATTTTCCGCATCCCAAGAGCAAAAGATTTTTTATTTTCAAAGAAAGGCCAGGGGAATAAAGCCTGACCATATCAACACCTAATCCCCAAGTCCTTTTACAGCCATGTAGGTGCCAAAACAGATTTAGAAAATTACACTGACGGGGGCAATGATGAAATTCATGGAAAAATGCAACAATTTACACGAGCAAGCTGTTTTTATTCTTAGTGTAACTTCAAAAGTAACAATTTTCACAGTAAATCAGATAGCAGTCTTAACAATGCGTTATTTGGAACATACTTAATAAAGCACATGTAGAATGTCATACCAACGTAATGAAATTATTACAGCCTGGAAAATTTCTCAACTGCACCCCTCTAGGTAGGGACCTGAGCGTATTATTTAAAAGCCAACCTTAGCCAGGCATAGTGGCACACATCTGCAGTCCCAGCCCCTGCGAGGCTGGGCAAGATGGTGAGTCCAAAGGCAGCCTGCACAATTTAATGAGGACCCTATCTAGACACAGCTTACAAAACGCGCTGAGGTTGTTTGGTGCAAAAGCCCCGAGCCCCGCTGCCAGCACAGCGGAAAGCTCAGGTGCTGGGTGGGTGGCAGTGCCGCACTCACCTTGACAGTGGAGCCGCCGTACAGCCGCTGGGCCAGCAGCCTGCCCGCCTGGATGGCCACGGGCGTCAGCTCCAGCTTGCCCTCCAGGATGTCACCGATGGCGTAGATGTAAGGCACGTTGGTCTGCTCCTCATCTGTGACTGGTATTTTCCCAGTCCTGCAAATGCATTCAGTTAAAAATCACCAAGTTCCACTGTGAACTAAGCAGACCTAAGTTCCCCTACCCAAAGGGACTAGAGCTGAGAATACATACTAATCGATTAGAACGAGGCCAAAATGCTCAGAGGAACCAAAATGCTGACCATTCTGACCATTATTTGGAAAATCAAAAAATTAGGAAACTACAAGGAATCTTATAATATATGGCTAAAAGTGAGGCTGGGGTTCAACCCCCAGTACAGCAGGAAAAAGAAATGCAAGAGAAGAGAGTCTCAATTCCAGGAGCCAACAAAGCTAACAAGAAGCGTGAATGTGATTGGCACCGCGAGGAGCCTGCTAAGCCCAAAGCGGAAGCCTGCAGCAAAAACCCAAGCAACAGCTGCAGACAGGCTCAGGGCTGTGTAAGTGCAACAGCACCAAGGTGACGCGGTGGCTTCTTACCTGTCATTGATCATCACCCCCACGGTTTCTAAGCCAATATTTCTTGTACAAGCATCTCTTCCTATTGCCAGCAACACCTGGAAAATTAGTATACAAAGTATTAATATAATAAAAGTCCTTGCATGAGTCATTTAATCATAGTTTTCTGATTGCTAAGCTAATCTAATGTCATTTTCCAGACCCAGAAGTAAATCTTTCATTTAGAAAGTAACAGTTCAAACAAAATGAACTCTTTAACTTTATTTTTCTTTAAATCTTTTACATGATACAGCCAAAATCGTTTTCCACTTCTCCCTGAGACAAGGGGAGCTAACACCCGGCCGGGTTCAGTGACAAGGTCGGCACGGCCTGTGGGATCGAGTCATTCTCTAAGCCAGGAGCTGGGGAGAGGAGGAGAAACACAGCTTGGATAAGCTGTTGCACACATAAACCTTCTGGTGCTTTTCTAAGCAAATGGACAAATGTTATTTTAAATCACAGTACAGAAACCCTGCAGCCAACCTTGTTCCTACACAAATGGTGTTATGTGTCTAGATGCCCCCCAAGGCCTCATGCAGCCATGCGCGGGCTTCTAGAGTTTCCGACTGACCCATGGTCCAACGCTGGGGCTCTGGGTGACAACGCTGCACCCGCCCTGGGCGGCAGCCTGCATGCGGTCGAAGGGAGGGAAGCAGGCCTGCTCCCGGCGGCTCTGCCCTCGTGCTCTCGCTGCGCTGCTGTTCTCTACCACCATGAGCAGCTGCCCTCTGCCATATGCTACGCTGCCTTGGAGCCAGCCCAGTATGGACTGAATCCCCACAAACTGTGAGCTAAGTAACCTTTCCTTCCTTAATTCTGGGCATCAGGTATTTTGTCCCAGCAACAAAGGAAAAGTAACTAAGACCAGTGGTAATGTCAGAAGCAGCGGGTCACCTCAGAAGGGGCATGACGCCTGTACATCTCTGTACCAGTGGTTGTGCCAAGGCCAGGACAGATGCCAGTGTACTCACACCCACCTGGCGCTGGCCCATCGCTTACCGTGTTGTACTCTCCTTCCATGATCTCCTGGCTGTGCGTGGACTGCGCCGTCACCTTCAGTCGGCCTGGGGTCCCTGCTTCAATTTGCTCAATCTGTAAAAGAATAAAACTTTGCTCTGAAGCAAGGATATTATCAAAGAGGAGAACTACTTTTTGTATCTTTCTAACTCAAGCCAAAACACAAAATCTGGCTCGAAAGGTCTTTTCTGTCCCTCTCCCTCACCTTCTAACTTTACTCCTCACTGCCTAATGTCATTGTTAGAGGCCTTTTTTCGAATAGCTCTTAAACAGTCAGATTTGGAGAGAAAAACGGAAAGAAGAAAGATGGAAGACCCACCAAATCCCTAAAGTCCGATCAACGAACTACATACAGCTCAGGACCCAGAACCACTAGCCACTCAGCCGTTGCTGCCCCAAATCACCAGGACACACGGCCACAGCCCCCGGCAGATGGCAGACGGCAGCGGTGCAAGGCACCTTCCACACAGACACGTTCTCTGTCTGCAGCCCTCTTTGCCTGAGTAACAGGCGAATCATGCATTTCTGTAAACTACTTCCTGAGAGAGAGCTGTATGGCTGCCTGTGTTTTGCACTCTACTTTTCAAATAGGACCGTTCTGGTCTGAGAATGCCGTCGGGGTCATTTTATTTCTGACATCAATACACAGTGAACATTTTCTTGAATTCCCTTTTCATTTTATTCAGCAGAGCCTCTTTCACTGTGCCGAGGCCTTTCCTGTTTAAGTTCAAACACCCTACTCCGTAGAAGCGCCAAAGTGGCCGAGGCTCAGATCCGCCTCCGAAGGGCAGCACAGGCCTGAGCCCTCCCCACTTCGCCCCTGGGCTCCGGCGCAGCTTGTCCCCAGCCGCTGACTCCCCACAGAGCCTTCGTGCTGCCCACCTCTCCGCAGACTACTCCTTCCACTCAGTCACCTCCGACACAGCAGGGACCCAGTTACCTCATGACCCAGGGCTACTGGGTGCTGCCCACAGGGTTTTCAACACAGTTCACAGCTCACTCACACTCTCTCCATATAGTCCTATTTATATAAGATGTTATTTTTCTATCAGTACGGCATATAGCTATACAACTTGTTTACATGTAATACATCTATATTTACATATATTTACATACACACCTCTCCCTATTCTATATAACTTATAGATAATAGATACACAGCTGTGCTCTCCAATCATAGCCCTAACACACATACAGCATGTCCACTCCCTGAAAAACAGCCAGAACAACCGAGCACTTCTAACTCCCCCAGAGCCACACCTCGGTCCCCACAGCAATGTGAGAGGCTCACATCGGGCCTCCTCCGTGCCAGCCCATTGCTGCACAAGGGTTGGCCGTCACACTCCTCCCAAGAATGTGCAAGCAGATGTTCCCATCGGTCCCACTTCACCAAAGTAACCAAGGTTCAGAGACATTAAGTAGCTCTCCCTAGATCACATGGAAAGACTGCAAGAAGGCACCTAAATCCAGATCAGACTGACCCCAACTGCATTCTTACCTCTCAGCGAGAATAAATTCATGGTCATGCAAGTACTACCTTACTGAGACAGAAAACAATATTAGCTGGTACATCTAAACCTTCACAGAGCAGTCTCGCCACTCCTTGTACTGAAGGCAACGGCTGGTCCTACAGAGATACACGAAGTGACCCACCATCGCTCCTACACACTGAAACTTGTGCTAAGGCTAAGCCTCAGGTGCAACTTGGAAACATTTAGGCAGATTTAAAGTGAGCAAGAAGCCAGCTCACTAACAGAATGAGATCACTGCTCCCAGGGACACTGGGGTTATATATAGCACACATGTCAGCCCCACCACATCCCCAGGAACAAACCAGGCTAGCCCTGAATTCCCCCTCCGAGCTCTGGCACTTGGAGAGTAGAACAAAGATGGTACAAACCAACAGTCCCTATTAGACAGCAAAGAGGCAGAGACACAGACAAAGAGAGGGATTAAGGCTCTGCATCCGAAAGCCAAGCTCCCCGGGCAGCAGGCAGGGCCACGTGCACTTTTTGGTAGGTAATGGCGAGGAGGCACACAGTCCTGACCCTTTGTGAGACGCACAGGGTGCTCCCTGCCAACCCGGCCTTTCTTCTTGCCTTTTATCCTCAATACAGAATACACAAATGTACAGAGAGCCCCACTTACTTTAACTGGTACAAACTGCTTTATGAACTTGACGCCATGTTCTTGCATGTGTTCGCTGATTCTGTTGGCCATGTCCTGGTCAAATCCTCTCAGAAGAATGGACCGGACCATAACGGTGACGTCCAAACCAATGCCAGCCAGGAACCCAGCACATTCCAAAGCGACATAGGATGCTCCGACCACCAGGGTCTTACCCGGGCAGTAAGGCAAGGAGAAAAGGTCATCACTGAAATCAATGGTAAAACGTGCACGTGTCAATAACGGCCAAGGGGGAAGAAATAGTTTCACCTTTACAGAACGGGACGCTTTTGATATTACAAGCACGTCATTACCTACACACACACACACACACACACACACACACACACACACACACACACAGAAGCCTGGAGAGAGCCTCAGATATGTTCTTCCCTGTTCTGCCACTCCGTGGCTTGGGGAAGTCCCAAAGGCTTCATAAGCCACACAGGTTATGGTGTTTTGCCAGCAGCTGCCATCCAAGCTGGCCGCAGCTGTGCCCACAGAGGAGGCTTCAAGGAGACTAAGGCACGATACGACCAGACACTCCCAGGCAAGCTGCGCTGCAGAGGGCGATCCACCAACCATGTCTTTCAACTTCGTAATTTAAAGCCTCTACGCAACAGTGCCAGTTGTGTTACTACTCAGCTGGCAAAAGGAGATCACACGCACACCCCTGCTTGATGTGCAAGAGGGTCTCCTCGGGGCAGCAGTGATGGGGGGCCAGGACCAATCACATGCATGAACTCCTTTCTCTACTTCTCTCAGTGTCCACTTTCCAAGTATAAAAGGAAAATATGACCACAGTTCTGCAAGGTAAATGCACCCACTCCACACTTGCTACACAAAACGCCTGTGGGTAGCCTGTGAGCAGGCACTGGACACCTGCATAGTCACACAAGCATGTACACATATACATACCTGAATACCAGTGGGTTGGTTGTGCGTTTACGTTAACTCTCTATGCAGAATAACCAGTACTTGCAGTTTTCAATTTTTAAAATGTTCTCTTGCTTAAAATATTTTCTCTTTAAGAATCAGACAGGGCTGGGGAGAAAGCTCAGTGGGCTAGGCACCTGCCTGGCAAGCGCAAGGACCCAGACTCGATTCCTAACACTGCATGCTGAGTATGGTGGCCCATGCCTCTAATCCCAGCACAGGGGAGGCTGAGACAGGAGGATCACTACAAGTCTGAACTGTATAGCAAGCCTCTGTACCAAATAAATAAATGATTTTTAAAGATTAAAAAATATATATAAAGAATCAGACAAAGCAGGCTTGAGGAAAAGGGCAGAGCCCACACTGGGCTTCTCTCCTCCGCGCGCCCCTTTACCTGCTAATGCAGTATTCTTTATCCCCAGAGATGCCCAAGTATCGAGGTCTTTCACCAGTGGCAATGAGAAATCGCTCTGCTGAGTAAATTTTTTCTTTGCCCTTGTTATTTGTTGCCTATAGAGAAACCAAAATGTCAACTTCAGGTCAGTCAGTATTCCTCAGAGCTGTAAGTCACAGAGTTAATTAACAAAGGTGCTTCTGCAGTGTCTCATCTGACCCTGGCAAAAGGGACAATCTGAGGGATGGGGACTGGCCATGAACAGACCACAGCTGGCTTGGTCCTGGGCACTGTGCCCAACACACCCCACAGACAGCCACGCGAGAAGGCATCACAGCCAAACTGCCAAGCTCATGTCTGGGGCAGCGGCTGATGATGTAATAACACTGCCAAATATGCTGCCCTACCAGGATCCAAACCTCAGAAAAAGAAAGAAAAGCAACCACGCGTGATGTGAGGCTGACCTTAATCCTGTGAGGACCAATGAACTGGCCGTAAGCATTCTCGTAGACAACCTTCTTTTCCCGAAGGGCGACTCGGTAGCCCCAGTTCAGGGAGCCGATGTGGTTCTGCACGGCTTCCGTCATCTTTTCCCAGTCGTGTTTGACTGCATGGGAAAACCAGACACAACATTAGGACTCGACGGCCCGGCACCCCCAAGGGTCTCAGCACCGACTCGGAGAGAAAAGCACGAGCAGAGCCGTCCCGTCCCAAGGAGCAGGCCCTGCACGCTGGGCACAGCAGCCACTCTCTGGTCCTCACTGGTCTTCGGCTTTCGGCAGACATCCCTAGGATTGGATAACAAAGGCTTTCCAAGGACTGAAGCAGCCATGACACAGACGGTTTTTCCCCTACCTAGAAATGAAGTGGGATTCAGCCTGGGCTGTATTTGTAACAAACTGAGGAGTCTCACAGAGCCAGGCATACAGCCACCAAGCTAGCATCGGTGCTTGCTGTGACGTCAGGTCAGCCCCGCCTGCTGACCTTGTGGTAAGCAGTCTTCCTGAGGCGCAGCAGCTCTCGTCCCAGACAGCTCACACGGGCCAGGGGAGCTGGGGCGGTGTGACCCGAGTGTGGCCCGGGAAGCCTCAAACAGCCTGCCCTCTACAGGAAAGGAGAACTGTCAGCATCTGTCTCGCTGCCCCAACCCCTCATTTCACCAGACGGTCTCATGTCATCACAAGTAAATTAGCCCTTCAAGTCACTGAAATACTGAATTTCAAAATTTTAATGGATAAGAATCAGCCTTCTGTCACTCAATAGTGCACAGATAAACTACACTTTGGTGGCGTGCACAAGACAGGTCCTGGGGAATCTGTGGTTTGGAGGCTAGCAAATACTCCACAAATTCAAAGTTTCTCCCAGGGAAATGAGGACAGAAAGTCACAGCTCCGTCAGGTGGCCTGGGCACACAGGACACGGTGAAGCCTGGCCTAGGAGACCCTGCAGCTGGCCTCCACCAGCAAAAGGCAGCATAACACTGCGCTGAGTATGGATGCGCAGTCTGTGCAACCACGAAAGGCGAAGCGTTAGCACTCAGGCAAACCTGAAGAGATCGGGTCTGACTGGGAGGCTGCACGGCTGAGGGGTCTGGAGGAGCGGGGTGCTGAAGAGACCCTGAACCACACCGTGTGCCTGAGGGCTGTGATCCGGGTGCCGTGGGAGGCTGAGCAGGAGACTGCAATAAGTGACTGAGATCTGCCTCAAAATAAAAGCTACAAGGCCCTGAGGACGCAGCTCAGCACAAAGGCAGGATGCACCCTTTGCCAATGCACTCCCCACGCCTCTCTGTGTGATCATCTCACTGCGTGGCCACCAGCGTAATGCTGGTCACTTTCCATATCCTCCCTAACCAGAGTGCTGCGCTGCACGGAAAGTCCAGACACAACACCAGGGGCCACTGTGACCCAGGGTGCCCTTGCCACCTAGTACCCGGCCGATGCCCCAGCTCCTCAAATCTCCTTTCCCCACTGAAGCTTCTTCCCCTGTGGCACAGTGGGCAGCCACCCTTGTGCCCTCCTGTCCAGGGTGACTGTGCTCAAGCAGAAGGAACCTATGTGCAGCCCGCGGGGCAAAGTGCTCGAGCCACACCCACGGTCCTGCAGCACACTGCCTTCTGACAATGCCTGGCATGGCTGAGCTCTAGAATGTTCCCCCCAGCCTGTGAGTCCCAGGAGATTAGACCACAGTGAAATGTGACACAGGAGCCAGGCCTGGCTGGAGGAGCCTGGTCACCAGGGTATGCCCCCCCCCACATGCCTCCCCCTCCCTGGCTGCCAGGGAGCCCAGGGAAGTCCCAAGCTGGCTTGCAGAAGTGCCTGGCACCTCGAGGTGCCCTCATGCCCTCACAGCAGCTGGGGCTCCAGTCAGCTCTGCTGACGAGCCAGGTTCAGTGACAGAAACTGAACTAACATAAGCACTGCGGTCAGGAACATATTTGGCGACACTTGAAGCCCAAAGCAGTAGGGAGGCAGGAATTACTCCAACTCCACCAAGTGTGATTGAAAACTACAGCGCAGGTCTACACTCGGACACTGCCACGACTCTGCTCTGAATACGCTCCCTCGCTGTGGGCACACTCATCCTGCCACCCTGCCCCTTCTGCAGCAGATCTCGAGTCTGCTTCTATCTTCAGTGGTGCCACCATGACTGCTGCTTTCGTGTTCCGGATCCGTTCAAAATGCTTCCCTTTCACGGTCATCAAGCACCAGAAACCATCCAGCGCCAGATCCAGCAGATAAGGTGAGTAAGGGCACTTGCTTTTGTTTTGGGTTTTGAGTTTTTTTGAGACAGGGTCTTACTGTGTCGCTCAGGCTTGCCTCTAATTCATGGCGCATCTCCAGCCCGAGGCTCCTGATTGCTGGATTACAGGCCCGCCACATACCACACCCAGCACGCGTCGTGTTTTTTACAAGCCTCCCTTCCACTGGACGGAACTTGGCGAACACGTTCACTGCTCTGATCACACCTCGTAAAGGCCGTCATGAAAGAGGACTTCCAGGACTGCTTCAGAAAGTGGCAAGGACAGGTGACAATGTTTAAGCCAAAGGAAATATTTTAAAATGTGTCTTTAATGAATATTTAAAAATGTAGCTGGGTGTGGTGGCATATGCCTATAACCCTGGTACTAGGAGGTTGAATCTGGAGGATCGCCTTGAGTTTGAGGCCAGCTGCGCTACACAGTGAGTTCAAGGTCAGCCTAAACTATACAGTGAGACCCTGTCTCAAAAACAAACAAAAAATGTAAACATTCACGTATAGCTTGATCATACCTTGGGAGCCAGGCAAACCAGGGGTGGAGGGCCTGTCCACAGCCCTGTGTGCATCAGCCCCACTCACACGTACATGTCTCACTGCGTGTGCCACATTACATCAGTGCGTGCTGGGGAAACATGGCCCAGAGCTCAGCAAGCCCCTATGTGGACTGATGGTCTTACTGTCTATGCAATGACAGTGTGTTCTGAAGCCTTCTCAAACGCTTAATCTTTTAGGGGCTGGTGAGATAGCACAGCGGTCTAAAGCACCTCCTTAGGCAAGCTTAGGTGAAGCATAGGGACAGCGTTCAATCCCGGCACCACATGCTGTGGGCTGTGCTGGCCAAAAAAAATACTTTTAAAGGCATGATTAATTCTTGAGCATAAGAGAACCCAAATAGATAAATCTGAACAGTATAAAGCTAATCAGTCTTCTGGAAAGGAGCAATTCATCTTAGGTGAGCTCAAGGTGACTTTTTTTTTTTTTTTTTTTTGCCGGCAAAACTCATCGTGTTTTCTCCTTTTGTTTCTATTTTGCAGTAATAGGGATTGAATCCAGAGAGTGCTGACCTACATTCCAAACCTTTTTTTTTCCCTTTAGTTTTTGATAGGTTCTGCCCCAGTATGAATTGCTAAAGTCTTTATGGTGGTCATCTAATATGGCCCACACCCTTAAAATGAAAGTGCATCTTCCCAAGACCACCTCCCCCTTCTTCTACAACTTAGCCCATGACATAATTTGCTCCCACCCTTCTGGCCACCTCAGGGAAGACCCCAGTCAGCTCCCTCATGTGTATCTGAACATCCCCTCCAAGCTCCACCCCTGGCAACAAGCCATAAAAAGCCTCAGTGTCTGTGTTCCAATTGAGAGAAATCCTCAACCTTGCCCACATCCTATTCCATGTTCTCAAAGAAAACAAAGCCCCATTCCCTTCCTCGTTCTGCCTGTTCCTCCGCTGCGCTGAGTACCCATCCGTTTTGAGGTAGGGTCTCCTCATTTCCCAGGCTGCCCTCAATGTTACAGTCCTCCTACCTCAGCCTCCCAGGCCTGGGACCACAGGTGTGCGCCACCACAACCAGCTGCATAAATATTTCCAACTTTATTACAGTAAAAGACATTGCCCTTTTTCTCAAAATATTCTTCCTCACTTCAAACAAACCTATTCCATCATTCTTGCCACTTTCTGAAAGTCTTTCCTATGTATCTTTTCGTGTATTCCAGGGGGCGGGGAGATGGCTCAGTGGAATAAATGCTTCCTTGGCAAGAGCAAGGACCTGAGTTCAATCCCCGGTTCCACAAAACAAAAACAAAAAAAAAAACCCTCCTTCTTCATGTATTCCAAAGTAACTCAAAATATTCATAGAGGACCAACAAGATAGCTCAGCAGTCTAAAACGCCTGCTTAGGCAAGCGCACAGAAACTGCGGCCGGATCCCCAGTATCACATGCCACACCAGCCCCAACCCCAGAACAGGCTGAGCAGGACACACACACACACACACACACACACACAAACACACTTGCCTAGCAAGCTGGAAGCCCTGAGCTTGGTCCTCAGCACTAAAACAAAAAACAAACCCCAACTGAAAATAAAGACAGAAAGACAAAAAAAAAAAAAAAACCCTATCACTTTTTTAAAAATTTACACCAAATAAAAACATTACAGTGTTCCCATCCACCTTTTTCACTGGATGTGGTACAAGGTGACATTTTTTAAAGACCTGAGCTCTTCTCAGTGTACTTAGTTTGAAGTTTGGAGGAAAGGCAGGTCACAGGCCTGGTCCTGGACCTGCGGGCTCTGGCGCACGGGCCACTCCCTAGGGCATTAGGCAGGTTCAGGTTTTGCTCTGTCCAGGTCTCCCAGATCCCTCAGCACCCCAAGGCTACCCAGTGTCAGAGCAAAAACGTCCTCTAGAAAGCAAGAGAGCTGTTCTCTGGTCATGGCAGGGAGAAGGCATGGAAGCTGTGCAGAGGGTGGGGGCACAGACTTGGAGCTCCACCTGCTGGGATACGGAGCTGCAGCCTCTCTGCAGCTTTGCGTGTTTTTACCACTAAGACCTAATGAAACAAAATAATGTTTTCTCTAATCCACCGTATTCCTCTCCCTGGATCGCGAGCGGGGGAAGTGAGGCATTGCTCCCTCAACAGAGGGTCCTGGCAGGCCCTGCACTGCGCATGCACACCCCACGGAGAACAGAGGCCCGAGGGCCACAGCGAAGTGCCCAGGATGCACAACCTGGAAAGGAGTGTGGACTTAAAACAGGGCACAGCCTTCAAAGGCTCTCAGGCAAGCCCTGGAAGCCTGCACAACCCCAGTGCGACCCCCAGAAGCACCAACGGAAGGGCAGCCTTCACTCCCTACCTCCATCCTCCACTTTCCAGCCGTAGTTGCGAGAGTCCTGCAGGGCTTGTCCTAAGAGAGCTGCCTGGTGCATCAGCTTTTTAGGTATGCAGCCCACGTTCACACATGTTCCTCCGAGACCTGCGACAACATGGAAAGCAGTTCACAGCCTGTTTCACAGGCCTTCAAGGAAAAGTTAACCATTGCTATAATTCAATGAAGATCTTTTACTAGCCTAATATGGGCAACACTGTTCATATTATTTTACTCCTAAGTCTCAAGACATTTCTAAAGTTTAGAGTGTTTTATCTATTGAATAAGTACTAGTAGTACCCTAAAACACAAGAGAAAGACAGACTGGTGGCGCATGCCTGTCAACCTAGTATTTTAGGGGCTGAGGCAGGATGCAGGGTCAAGCCCTGCCCAGGCAACTTTTCAAGACCTTGTTCCACAATTTTAAAATGGCTGGAGTTGGAGCTCAATCTGTAGTACTGCCAAAAATAAAAAAAAGATTTCCATAATCTTCCCATACTTTACAGATTAAAACCTGACAGTTGCTAATGATGGCAGAAATTGAAATCACTTTGTACACAAGCCTACACGTGCCACTGACCGCATAAAAGGGCTGTTTAGGGCTGGGAGATAGCTCAGCAGTCTAAGCGCCTGCCTGGCAAGCACAAGAACCTGGGTTTGATCCTCAGTACCATATGCCATGTTGGCCCGGGATTCTAGGTGCACTGTGCTGGCCACCAAAACCGAGCACGGTGGCACATGGCTGTAATCCCAGCGCTAGAGAGGCTGAGACAGGAAGATCACTGCAAGTCTGAAATGTGTAGCGAAACCTTGTACCAAATAAATAAAAGATTTTTGTAAACAACGTTTTTTAAAAAGGGCTGTTTTGCTGAGCATGATTGGAGTGCATGGGTCACTCTCTGCTGTATCCCTTGGTCTATAAGTGATCGACGAGTATTTGTGGAAGACACAAACACTAAACACAATTCAGCCAGGCAGCAAGAGCTGACCATGCAGGATCTGATTCAGCTCTTGCTGTATTCAAGAGGTGGATTTAAAACACCAAGCTTACAAAGCTGAAATGTTTGATCAGTAAGCCCCCCAAGTACAGTAGATTTCACAAACATTTACCTTTAATTCATAGGTTGTGCATAAATTTTCTTGTATCTTGACTGTCAGTGTACCTAAATTTTCAGTGTTTAACTGAGTTCCTTTTAACTAAGCAGAGGCTGTGAATATGACCATCAACGTCATCTTAACTAAGGGAAACAGACACACACTGCTGGTTTGGTTTTAGTTACTATATCAGTTTGGGTTTAAGAAACCATACAGACTATTCCCAGGGGAAAATCTGTTTCTTCAAAACCACTTAAAATATTTTAGAAACTTACCCCATCTGGTGCCAAGAGGAGTTGGAGTGACAAAATCTAAGACCATCACTTTCTTGTCAAATTTGGCTGCCTCCTGGAAAAAAAAAATTATCAAACTGAGTGGAAGATGTTAACATAACATGCTGGAAATGAGCCGCTAAAATCCATGCTGTTTTTATTAAACTATAACATCTAAGGCATAAGTGACGATTAATTCCCAGGAATTCTATATGCCACAATGATCAATTTGACTCCAGTGCAAAAATCAGAGACACCCAGAACAGTTGTATGGATAGCTTTAAAGATTATGCAGCTTTCAGTTGTAAAAATTATTAGAATCAGCCAGAAACCTTAGAATCTTCTTATGCAATTCCACTCAAATAACAGATTAAACAATAGCCCTAAACCCATGCGGCCATTTCCAAGCAAACTTAAGTAGTTAATAAAGCCAGTTACTGATAGCCTAAGGCCCTTGACTCAATGTGTATCCTTCAAGATATCTTTAGAAGTATTAGAAGAGTTTCACCCAATTCAGTTTCTAAGACAGAATAGTAGTTTTTCTTTTGAAATTGTCAGGTTTCTTAAGCTTTTCACATGAGGAGCCCACTGAACAGTTGAACCCGTGGGGTTCCCAAACCCACTGCAGAGGAGGGAAGACAACGGCCAGCTTCATTGTGTGAAGTATCTCTCCTCTCACTGGAGTAAGCTCTATGCCCTGGAGACCAGACCTCCACCATCAGAGAAGACACAGGTCATCTTTAGTAAGTAAACTGAAGAAATCTAACTTGCATCCTTGTACCAGGGAGAAAGCAGTTGTGAATATGATCATCAAAGCCAAGTACTGCATTTATGAAGAAGAAATATATTGTCACACCATTTCTACACACCTTTATTATCACTGAAAAAAATCAGCCCAATTAAAACAGATGAAAATGTGTCCCAAAGCACTGGGCCCTGCACTTATATATGAAGCACCTGTAACTCAATCTGAAGAAATGATTCTGAAGTAGTGCTTTAGGGCTGTGGAGACAGCTCAGTGGTGTCTGCGCCTGCCTGGCAAGTGCAAGGTCCTGAGTTTAACTCCCAGTACCAAAAAAAAAAAAAAAACACCAGAGAAAGAGACTTATGAAGTCGTGCTTTAATAGGTCTTGTCTAAGTTCATGTGAAAAATACACAAATGGATCCAATACACCTGTCAGGCCATAACACTCAGACCAGCCCGACTCCCCACCCGAGGCCTTGCCTTAGCAGCTGCCAGGCCACCCGAGCCTCCGCCGATGATGATGAGGTCGAAGTCGTAAGACTGAGGAGGGTCCTCTGAGCTGTTCATTTTCACTGCTTGTTGAAGCTTGCTCTCCTGAGAAACCTAAAGGCAAAGAAGAGAATGGAAGATAATTCAGCTTAAAGCAGCAACATCAAAACACTGTAAGGAAATCTTTCTTTAAAGGAAACAAAATGAATTTTAAAAGCTAAGTAGTAAAAGGTGCTACTGGACTTAAAGCCTTCCTTCCAGTGAGGAGCAGTGCTTGTTTTTCGTTTAAAACAAGCACCCGCTGCCACCGGGCTTTGCACACCGCACTCGCTGTGACACACTCATCCTGCACTGCTGTGTGCCAGTGGCACAAAGCCAACCTAGCCCCAACCTGGGCATGATCAGCAGGCTTGTTTCCCTCGAATTTCAAACCAAGTTTTAAATTAGGCTTTTAAAACCATTTGTCTAGCATGTTTGGAATGGAGCCACCATCCTGACTCCTAACACAGTGAGGCATGTGCCACTCGGCCAAGCCCTCCCGACGCAGCGCTGTAAAGCCAGCCACATGCTTCAAGACTATTCTGCTCTCCTTGGCTGAGGCACAAGAATCTAGATTCAGAAAAACCACTGACCTGCATGAAAACTTAAATGTAAAATTTCCTGCCTTTGCAAGGCATTGTATGGTTTGCCTTTATTGTTTGCTCACTGGGGATCACACAGGACTGTGGACATCAGGCCAAGCGCTCTACTGCTGAAACAGTCCCGGTCTCGTAAGCAACCCGACACGAGTCTGACTGTGAAGCGCATTCCTCTAATCTGTATGTGCTCTGAGGCTCCCGTAATAATTTAGTCCCCATATAGGTGGCATGTAAGAAACTGGCTTTATAATTCTTATTAGTGCATGTTTGCAGTGCATAAGGATTACCTTCATCTCAGTGAGTAGGTGCAAGGACCTAAGACAGCTTCCTACGCCCCTCCCCACCCCCTCCTCGTCCTTTCCCGTTTCCATTGTTAATATCACTTTTGTTCACATTCAACCTGTAACATTTACTTACTGGGTATTTAGTACACAAATATGACATACCTTGAATCTTTCCTACGTCCCCTTTCCTCTCTCCTCCATATACCCTAGGTTTCATTTATTGTTTTAAATCCCTCCATGCCACTGATTTTAAATTTATCAGTTATACTTCATATTGGTTTGAAACACCAGGTGATGCACTTAAGGCTACCTTTTATTAAAATTAACAACAACAAATGACTGAAAAAGTTAACAAGCACATTAAAATGGTCCTTTAAAGATCCAGTTTTAATCTTAAAATCCAAAACCCCCAACTTACCGGCCCAGACTGCACACTTTTCTCCTGCCTACAATCAGGTGCAGGGGATGAAAGGTGGACCCTGGGGTCAGCAGAACAGGGTGCTTGGGATGTGGAAGGGGGTGCTGTGGAGGGAGGAGGAGGAGCGGGCCTGCAGGTGCCCCTAGGCAGGCCAAATGCGCGTGGAGGTGCAGGAGGATGGACACCGGGAAGCCAGCAGCAGTGTGGCCAGTGACAGTGGGGAGACGGCTGCACCCTGACCGTCTGCAGGAAAGGTCTAAGGTGAGAAGCCGGAAAACAAAGCCAGTACTCATGGGCTGGCATCACGGCCAAGGTCCTGACTTCTACGCCGGGCACTGTGGGGGAAAGGAGCTGGTGGTCAGAGCCATTCGGATCAGAGGGCGGAATGCGCCGTGTGGAGAGATGGGCGTGGAGCAGGAGGGAGGGTTTGCTGGCCTGAAGGGCACACAGCTAAGTGCAACCTGGCGTTCCTGGAAGATGACCCTTGTTAAATTTCCACCTCATTTTTTGTTCTGAACTTAGAGATGGTGAAGGAATACACCCATCAGGTGCCTGCAGGCAAACCACCTTAGGACTGCCCTGTCCCAGTACACATAATGGAAGAAAACAAATGCATCCTCATGATGAAGTCTGCATTCTTTACTGATACTTCCCATCTGATGGGGTTCTCCCTCTCTTCTCTTTCTTGTGGTACCAGGGATCAAAGACGGAACCTTGCACTTGCCAGGCAGGCACTTAAGCGGCTGAGCTATATCCCCAGCCCTTCTGAAGGGATCCTTATACTGAAATTATAACAAGCAATGCACAGATCTTACAAAGGAAGAGCTGAGGGACCCTGAACAATTTCACCTGTACAGTAACACTGTAAGACTGATGGAGACCGCTACAAAGTGGCTCTGTTGCAGGGTTTAGAATTAGCCATTGGCTTTCTATGTGTATTCATGAGTCTGTCCCAGGCCGAGCCCTCTTGTTTGGAGGGGCAACAGACTCATGGCAACTGAACCTCTGTGAGTCACTGGTCCCACTGTGGCCTGTAGTGGCCTGTGAAGCCCTGAAGCCTCAAAGGACAAGACCACAGCTAACGACACATGGCTCCAAACCCAATTAACTAGATAAAGCGTGTAGCTACAGGCATCCCACTCCTAGGTAGAGGCCTTCCTAGAGATAACAAAGTTTTCCTAAATTAACATAATATCTTACTTGGACAAGTCAAGGTCCTTGAAGGGTCCTGCTCAGTTCCCGCCTTTTCAATATCCCCTCCTTTATCTGGTAACTAAATAAAAGCAGGCCACCCTGAATTTCAAATTCTTAGAAGGTTTTGATCCTCCTGGAACTCTAAAAAAAAAAATCACACCACTTGCCTCTTTCACTTACTCATTTGGGAAATTGTGGGCCCGATCATTCCACATTAACTAAGGGATAATACTAACGTGCTAAGACACGTCACTGGAAACATTCAGGTGACCCCAGAACCAAGTATTACATTCTTAAATTTTAACCTAACTTAAAATCAAAACTGCTGCCATTCCAATTCAGGTGAATTATGTCCCACTTGAACCATAAAGAAGGTAAAAGGTAGAAGACAACGCCAACAGACAGGGAGAGGGGAGGCAAGAGGAAGACAGCCCAGCCTCCTCCAACTGGTGGAGCAATGGGGAGCCTGAGTGGTGCTGGAGCTCTCCAGCCTGCAGTCTCCGGAGCGTTTCACAGGCAATGTTTTTGTTTATGTGTTTTATGTGTTAATATTTACTACATTAAAAATCAAAGACTAGGAGGCCAGGGAGATGGCTCAGTAGAGTAAGTGCTTATCTGGCAAGTGCAAGGGCCTGAGTTCAATCCCCCGGTTCCATCAAAAAAATAAATAAATACCAATACATTTTACAATATCAATATGCCCACTAGGTTAACATATTCTTTTACATTTCAATTTTTTTTTTCTTCAAAAGGAGTGAGTTGTGTACAGGGGGGTTAAATGCTTTATAGACAAG